TTAAATATTTGAGTGTACAATAGCCCCCCCCTCCTTATTCGCAGGGGATGCATTCCAAGACCCCCAATGGAAAATGTGGATAGTGTCAAATCCTATATAGACTATATTTTTTTTTTTCCTATTCATACCTACCTGTGAAAAAGTTTATGAGTTAGGCACAGGAAAAGGTTAACAACAATGTAGAACAATTATAACAACGTATCATAATAGAAGCTGTGTGAATATGGTCTCTCTCTCTCTCTCTCTCAAAATAGCTTACTGTACTCACCCTTCTTCTTGAGATGATGAGAAATGATAAATGCCTGTGTGATGAGATGAAGGGAGGTGAATGACAGGTGTTGTGACATAGCATTAGGCTACTGTTGATTTTCCAGTGATATGTCAGGAGGAAGATCATCTGTCGACCACAGGTAACTGAGACCTCAGAAAGTGAAACCATGGATAAGGGGGACTACTGTATTTGCCGAGTATAACTAGGAACTTTGGTGTTGGATCGAAATACTCTATCGGCCATGAATTGTTCATCTTTTACTTCTCATACAGCTTTCTGCATGCAACTGTGCTAATGACATGTCAAGTGGCTGAAATGGCACAGTTTTTTGCTGTTCTTGTTCATATAGATTGAGATCATTATTTATTACTGCAGCCTGTTCTTGTTGCCATGTAAATTGCTAGGAAAGTGTGTAAAATCACTTTTTTGTCTGGGTTCAGTCAAATTTGTATCTTTGTAAAAACACCAAAACGCTGTGCCATAATGGTAGTCAAATCTGTATGTATGCATTGGCTGTTAGAGTCAAATCAAAGGGCTGGTTTTTCTTATAAGTGTTCAGTTACTTCCCCGGTTTGGCATGCAGTTGGCTTGTTTGGTTTGTTTGCATGGAAGGTAGGATGAGAAGAGGAGGAATCATATGATGGAATCACAGGAGTGACTAGAGCACTGCGCTTGAGTGCTAGTATTATAGAAGAGCTGTTAGAGACCAATTTTTCGTTGTCTAGCAGAGGAAACTGAAATCCAGAGATCTAAAGTGATACATCGTTGGTCACATAGCTAGTTAGTGGCTGAACTGGAAGTACTACTTGGATTTCTTGATTCCTAGCCCAGATGTCTCTTCCATAGATCTTCCATGAAGATACAATTTCCACTAGATAAAATTCGGGAGAATTTTGGTGATGAATAATGGTTAAGCTATTATTACTAGCGCCTCCCACAAACCTGATGGGTGATGAATTGAAAGCATAATTAAGCATTTAAGAATGAATTTTCTTCTAAATTTGTGGGAAATCACCTTTGAAACCGCCTTTGAAAACATGAAGTAGATACTTCAATCATGGTTCCCCTGACTGAAGAGAAGTGTTGAATATCCATACTTGGTGTGTGTTAAATTGTTGCAGGATAAATAGAAAACAGCTTCCACATCTTATATTCCAGTCCATTGACAGGATGAACCATGCTTCTGGGTGTCTTGAATTCAGCTCTTTAGTTTTGTAACTTGGATTCCCCATTCTGTCTCTCACAAATCTCAGATGAAGAGACATGCTTTAGAGTTGTCAGAACTGCCTATCCAAAATGGTTTTGGGAAAAAAAAAAAAGATTTTAGAATCATTCTAGCATCACTAGATAAGCAAGCTCCTTGCTTTGATTCCACTCTGGGACTAAGTGGAAGCCTATAAAATGAAGTAGGAAACTGCGAAGGCGTCAAAATTATTTAAAAAGTAGCCAGATAATTGTTTTTTTTTTTAAGATTTTACTTACTTATTTGAGAGAGAGAGAGAGAGAGAGAGCACAAGCAGGGTGAAAGGCAGTGGGAGAAGCAGACTCCCTGCTGAGCAGGGAGCCCAATGTAGGACTGGATCCCAGGACTCCAGGATTATGACCTGAGCCGAAGGCAGAGATGCTTAACCGACTGAGCCACCCGGGCACCCCAGATAATTGTTTTAACAGAAATTAGAGCTGTAGTTTAGGTCACTCCCATAGTACATTACTTATTCAGTCACTTTCACACTTTGAAAGATTCAGCCGCATTGTAATTAGTTATAAACCTGTGTTGTTTGCACTACTAGGGATGTAAGCTTCATAATATCTGTTATTACTAAGTCTCTGTATCTTTAATGAGCACTCAGTCATTGTTGAAATGAAGTTTGAGATCCTATAATGTTTTACTATCGTCTTAGATGCCTAGGCTAGTAAAAGTTCTGGAGAGAATAAAATTAAATATCATATATAAATATCATATAATACATTATAAAATTAAACATCATATATAAATATCATATAATACATTATAAAATTAATCATGTAAATATCCTAATACGTTATAAAATTAAACATCATATATAAATACCACATAATACGTTATAAAATTAAACACCATATATAAATACCACATAATACGTTATAAAATTAAACACTATATAAACACCACATAATACATTATAAAATTAAACATCATATATAAATATATAATACGTTATAAAACTAAACACCATATATAAATATCACATAATACGTTATAAAATTAAGCACCATATATAAATATCATATAATACATTATAAAATTAATCATATATAAATACCATTCATGACATAGCGATTCTATCGTTGCTGCTACTGGTACCTCTGCCCTACTATAGGACGAAGAGGAGGGGTGGAAGGAAGATGCACTCGTCTTGTTTAAGGCACTGTGCTGAGCACTTCACAGCCGTCCTGCCACAATTTAATCCTTACAAGAAAACGATCATCTCCATTTTACAAACGAAGTTTCACGTGGGTTAAGTTCTTGCCCAGGCTCATGCAGCTAGCAGGTAGCCCGAACTCTTAAGTGCACACTTGTGACCCCTGTGGCACGTACTGGTTCATAACCAGGCCCAGGAGAGACTGTGGAAAGCCTACCCTCTGTTTGCAATCATTACGGCATAGTTTGGTGAAAAAATTTAGAAAGCTGTACATAGGTTTGCATTCCTAGAAATGAATCTAGCTCAGTTTGTTCAAGCAAACAATTTTAAGCAACTCCTACGAAAAGGAAAAGATAGCTGTAATTGTTACTGATGATCAGCTTGGGGAAAAAGAACCTGCAAACCTCTAAAAAAGCTATGAGTAGTGCCAACGAGAGCTCTTATTAAAGTCTTTATTAGGTACTGAATAATTGTACAGAGTTAAGTCACACCATGATTTATGACAAGTTATGTCATTTTCCAGTGGGAGAATGGTATAATGAATAAACTACCCCAGAATTGGGGAGCTAATGCAGTTTTTCACAAAATTACTGTCCTCTTTATACACATCTTCTTTGTGATGAGTAAAGTTTCTATATTAATTGCAAATAATTAAGTCAATATGATGATTTCCACTGTTTTGAAAGTCACCAAAAAGCATTTTATTTCATATTTTAATAAGAAATCTTCATTTTAATAAGAAATCACTTTTTTCTATGTACACAATTTTTATTTTATTACGTTATGACATTAGGTATGCATAGGTCACCAGAATTTTCCAATTTCAATCTCCTTAAAAGCACAATTCAAAGGGTGTGTTTTAATTTATACTTTTTATATTTTGAGAAAAACCTGCCATGATCTAGTAACATAATTTGGTTTCCTTTTCACCTAACGTATTCATTATTTTAATTAGTATTTTGGTAAACTATAGAAATTTTCCTAATCCTCTTTCCTGACATCTTTAATGATAAAATAGTGACATTTAGAAGGAATTGGTTGAAAGAAAGACATTTGTATCCCAATTAAAATTAAAAACAAATTTCTGAAAAATACATGACAGAAGAAAAGGAAGCATCGTGTTTCTAATATTAGTCAATTAGGTTAAGAAAGAAGTTATGGCAAAATGTCATGCCTATGGAGTGGCTTGCTGTCTATCTTCAAAATGAGATTCGAGGGGAAAATATTGTGTCACACTGTTCCCATGTTATGATGGCACCATTTATTCTGTATATTTTCTTGCCCAGGAAAAGAAATTAGAGAATCTGAAAGGAGGGTGGTTATTCATTTTATTTTTCTCTTTCATTATTGTTCACCAGAAAATTCATTATGAAGATGATAATGATGATGAAAATCTTAATAAAATCATCATCATCATTAAATGGAGTTTTTCAATGACCCAACAGACGTGAAGAAGATAGAAACCTGAATTTCTGGTTTTGCCATTTGGTTACCTTAGATGAGTCTTTCCATCTTTTTGAGTCTCCGATTCTTTATCTGATGAAGTGTTTACTAAATTATCTCTATGGTTAATTTCTGCTCTGCATGTACCTTAACTTTTTTATGTTTGCTGGGAGAGAACCTCCTTTACCTAGTCTCTTAGAAAAATAGTGTTAGGAAAAAGGCACAGAATCAGATTTTGTGGCCAGTGGCCCAGTCAGAGAAGAGTATAGGGATGTTTATATTCTTTTCTATTTTATTCAACTGTAGTTTTGGGTTTTTTTATTTAAGATTTTATTTATTTGACAGAGAGAGGATAAACAGAGGCAGCGGGAGAGGGAGAAACAGGCTCCTCAGTGAGCAGGGAGCCTGATGCAGGGCTCGATCCCAGGACACTGGGATCATGACCTGAGCCGAAGGCAGACGCTTAACCAACTGAGCCACCCAGGTGCCCCCAGCTGTGGTTTCCATGACAGATGTGCGCAACATCCCATGCAGTTGGTAGAGAGAAGCCATGGTTTATGCTGTTGTGGGGATGTGGTATTGCCAAACAGAACACCGATGCATGATATTTGTGTCCACTTCTGAAAGCCTGGAAGAGGTTTCACCATCATGAGGTAGCTTTTGACAGTCCGTGCACTTACCTCATAAATTGGCGGTTAACATTTTTAAATTAACCACAACAACAAATATTAACATGTTTTAATGTTTTTAAAGTAGTTTGTTTTAATTAAAACTAATGAAGGTAAAGAGTAATATTTGTGGTTTTCAGAAACAAACATGTTTTGAGCATACTTTAAGGAGAGAGAAGATTCTTACCTTTCCATTTCATTTATTTTTGGTTGCAGAACTTCAGATGGTGGCAAAGTTGTTGGCACCATAGAAGTCAGTATCGTGAAGATGGGGGAGATTGAGGATGGGGAAGCCGACCACATCACCGCAGATGTGCAGGGACAAAAGGTAGGGTCTCAGTCAGCTCAATGCACAAATTAAATTAGAAACGATCAGTTTTGCCAGTTGCCTGAATCATCAACACGTCTGTGCACTATGAAATCTTATTATTCATAAGCCAAATGAGAAATCAGCTCTGGAATTGAAGTGCCATAAGCATGTTTGGTCCGCTGAACCAGAGGGTCTATTTGCACGGAACTCTGCAAAGCCTTGCGCCATTCAGCAACGCCTTCTTCTTCGCCCCGGGCTCCCCGTGTTGACACTCTCCTCTCAGCTGGAACAAAAGTACTGATCACTGCTGCATTCCGCTCTAATTAACCCTACGTGAGACGCAAAGAAGATTCCAGGATGGCTACTGCCAAAAGTAACCACTTCTCTACTCTCAAAACCCTCTTAAGAAATGCATTTGAGTTTAGATTTCATTTGTATGTGAAGGAGCACAGATTTAATAATGCTAGGCCTTATAAAATTGCAGAGAGAGAAGTAGGAAATAGCGCAAAGTGGAGGAACAGCTTTGGAGGAGGGGCATCGCCAGCTGGAGGGGAAGCAGCTTCCTTGAACTGAGCATAAAGGTCCCAGTGCATATCAGTATGTGTCCAGGATTTTTTACTTTCTTTTCTCTAAGAAAGAGAAACTTGATATTAAATTCCCGTCTTAGGAATGCAGTCGCCTACTTTATTGAGGCACAGGGGATGGACTTAAAAGCTGCATCTTTTCAGGAAAGATTTTGTGTATACACTATAATTCATACCTTTTCATAAATGAGCATTTTCTAAGGATAAGGCCTTTAGTGACTTAGTTTCTGGCTTAGTGGCCCTTATCTAGGAGCATATTGAATTTGGGGTGCTGAGAAAACATCTACATGAGAAATGCTGTTTAACACAACAAATTAATTTTTGTCTAAGAAAAAACAAAAACAAATTATTAACGTTACAAAAGAAATCTAAGACTGCCTTTCAAAAGAATATTGTTCTTGCCCCCAGAATAAGCTAGGGTCTTACCTGCGGGGCCAAGCCTTGTTCTTCTCTGTTCCTCTGCTCTCCCTCAGAACATAGCGAGATTCATGACAATATTCCAGGGAGGCTCCAAGTTTGAATCTGGTTGCCTGATCATGTAAGGACTGTCCAGAATTTGCAGCAGATCTTCTCAAGATTTGTGTATTCAGCACACCAGTGTGGCTCTTAGGATGTGTGCATCCGAGACCCCCAATTATGGGGCCCCTTTCATCAATCCCCCTTTCCTTTGGAGTTCTATATAAGGTGCGTTATTAGTCACCACGACATGGATCCTTGCCTCAAGATTAAGGAGGGAAGATTTGGAGGCCAGGTGGGGAACTGAGAACAGAAATAGACAACTGTGCTTAGACCTGTGGCAGTATGCCAGGAGATGAGTAGCAGAAACACTTCCCTTTACAACGGAGGCCTATTTTGACTGCTCCCATTCTATTACTAGCCCCCTCTCCAATTCCCTCAAAGCTTTGCCCACCGCCTGACTCCTTTACTCTGTTGCTATTATATAGTGCGAAGTGAATCATACTCTTTTTCGTAAGCAGAGAACTTGATACCCAGGAATATACCCCACCAAAGCCCCACATGATGTTTCTGACCTAGTAATGGGAACTTAAAAAGACTTAACTGTTCTAGAAATAGGTGACGGCAGCATCAGCATGTACCACGTACAAGTCGTAAGTTGACTAAAACGATAAATGTACCATTGTTGACATTAGTCTGGCCTGTCTGGGTTCTTAGTAAACACTGACCTTTTGCGAATTTTTTATAAAGTTATTATAAACTCTGTTGGCAATCCTTCAGAAGCGTCATGATTCGTGAAGAACATGTAGTAAGGTCCACTATGTACAATATTTACAATTATGGGGGAATAACTTTAGCTCAGTGTTTCACAAAGCATTAGCAGAATTTTCTGGAGTGTTTGTTAGATATGCAAACTTCTTTGCATTATCTGCTAAATCAAAATGTCTATGAAGTGTATTAACACAATCTCCTAATGGGGACTTAAGTCCCCAAGTTAGTGAATGACTGAAACATAGGACAAGACAAAGTAACTGAAATCGAGGTTATCTGTAAAACAACACTGCTCTCCCGAGTTTGTATGAATGGAGGAAAAAGAAATGAAACTATTAGCACCAGTCATGTCGGTGAGTGACACGTTATTGCTTGTGTATACTGAAGTAGATAAAAGATTGTAATACCTGTTTTAATGAGCTTGGGCTTCCATAGTAATAAAATACCACAGACTGAATGGCTTAAACGACAGAAATTGATTTTATCAGAGTTCTGGAGGCCAGGAAGTGCCAGGTTGGTGTGCCAGATGACTTCGTTCCTGGTGAGGGCTCCCTCCCTGGCGTACAGACTTTCAGCTGTGTCCTCACATGGCCTTTCCTTGGCACATTAGCATAGAGACAGCAAAAGGAGCTCTTGTGTCTCTTCCTCTTCTTATAAGGACACCAGCCCAATAGGATTAGAGCCCCACCCTTAGCATCTTTAACTTTCATTATTTCCATAAAGACTGTCTCCAAATCCAGTCATACTGGGTCTCAGGGCTTCAACATAATGAATTTTGAGGAACACAATCCAGTTCATAGCTATATCCCTGATGTAAAATACTACATTTGAATCTTTAATCTCAGATAACCTCCAGAGCCTGGAATAAAATATAAATGAAAAGCCAAACTCTGTCCTCTCACATTAACTTACTTGTTTCCTCAAATTATATTGTTATGATATAGTTCTCATCAAGCAAAGGTGGTTCAGAAGGTCATTCACCATACCACACTGGTTCAAACTTTTTGAGAGGGAGAGAGAAAGGGAGAGAGGCAAGCAAGTGAGGTGGGGAGGGTAGAGGGAGGCGGAGAGAGAGAATCTCAAGCAGACTCCCTGCTGAGCACAGAGCCCGATGGTGGGCTTGATCCCACGATCCTGAGATCACAACCTGAACAGAAACCAAGAGTTGGACACTTAAGGGACTGAGACACCCAGGCGCCCCCGGCTCAAACTTTTATTTGATATGTACATACATAGTGAAAGAAGACAAAGTGTTAAAATCACATAGCTAGAAAAAGAAAAATTCACAAAAGAAACAGTAACATGGACATTTTACAAAGCTCATATAATAGGTGAAATGTCGCATTAGGTATCCAAATTTTAACTTTTGGAGTCACCTTTGACTCATTTCTTCCTCTCAGGCACAGTGAGTATGTCAGCAAATCCTGCTGATTCTGTCCAGAACCCAGTGACTTTTGAGCCCTTCCCTCTTACAGCATTGTCTGTCACGTACATGTTCATGGTAGTCTCTTAAATGTCCCTTCTTCCTCCTTCCCGACACCCCGATCATCATAGTCTATTCTCAGCAGAGCACTTGTTAAGACATAACACAGAACATTTCTCCAGTAGCTTCTCAACTCCCTGAAAGTGTAAACCTAAATCCTTTCAGTGACCCACTTAAAGTCCTGCAAGTGTTGGCCCCCCATTACTTTCTTCGCCTCATCCTCTACTCTTCTTCTTTGCTCACTTTCACTTAGCCTCATTAGCTTCTTGGCTATCAAACAGTCCAGATACATTTCTGACTCAGGTCCTTCACTTTGTTTTTCAATCTATCTTTGTAGCATTTTCCCCAGGTAAACTATATGCTTCATTCGCTCACTTCCTTCTGGTCTTTTTGCAAAATATGACCTTCTCACTCTGCCTTCTCTGCCCTGTATCCAAAATTGCCATGCCTACCAGAAACTTTCTATCTCCTTTCTTTGCATTATTTTCGTCCTTAGTACTTATCACTGTCCAACATCACATATATTTTATTTATCTTATTGTCTATTTCCCTCACTAGAATTAAACTCCACGAAAGATACTTGTCTATTTTGTTCTCTCCTTTACTCCTCCCCCCAGTGCCTAGAACAGAGCCTAGCACAGGGAAAATGAGTGAATGAGTAAATGAAGTCAATTTTACCTTGAAGAAATAAAATCCAAAATTGTCTCCTAGAAGGGATAATATTTGGCTGCATATAAGGCTGTGTACAAACTGGTCCATAAGTAAAGACTAGAGTGAGGATGCAGTAAAGAGTGTAGCATTATAAAGGAAAGAGGAAGAAACTTTTTAAGAACAACTTTGAATTAAATAGTCAAGAAAAAAATACGCCACTAGGGAAAGGAGAATGAGGAAGCAAAATAATCAAACCCGGTTAATAGAAAAACCAATGTAATTAACAGCCAACAAGATCAATGAGATAGCCCTCCCCTCTGCCCTGCCACCAAGGTGACTTGGCTTCTTGTCAGGGGAGGAGGATTTTTAACAGGCATCCTCCAGTGAGGCTCTGCGCGGGCCAAGTTCAGCTCCTGCCTTGTCTCCCCCTTTTGTTTAATGTCTATTATATTTGAATGTGGCACAGGGCACAGTACTAATGATCAAAGTAGTGGTGGTTTCTACAAAAGGAAAAAGCCTTACGTATTTAGGACAGTGACAGAGATGGTGTAAGTGGACTAATAATACATCTTCTTTTCACTACGAGCCTAACCTAACTAGTATTTTTTTGTTTTGTTTTGTTTTAAGATTTTATTTATTTATTTGACAGAGAGATACAGGGCGAGAGAGGGAACACAGCAGGGGAGTGGGAGAGGGAGAAATAGGCTTCCCGCTGAGCAAGAAGCCTGATGCGTGGCTCGATCCCAGGGCCCTGGGATCATGACCTGAGCCGAAGGCAGATGCTTAACAACTGAGCCACCCAGGCGCCCCTAACCTAACTAGTATTTTGATGCCTTGCTACCCTTCTCAGGTCATTTTGCCCCCATATATTGAAGTGGTGTTTTAATCAGACATTCTTAGGCCATGGTCAGGGAAAAGGTAGAGTCCTAGGGGAGCTAAGGAGCATCTTAAAGCAGACACTATTTGTCCCTTTATTTTTCCCAAATACAAAATTGAAAATAATATAACTGATTTGACTTATAAGATATTTGCAGGAATATAATATTCATCATTCGTCAAACAATACCGCCTTCTATGTTCTAGGCATTCTACTAGGTTCTGGGTATTCAGCAATGAACCACATAGACACAGATGCTGCCTTCTAGGGAGGTAAACAATAACAAAATAAACAAGTAATATATTGTTGATCAGATGGTACTATATGCTATCGAAAAAAATAAGGGTACAAGGACTACTAGGGAGTGTGGGATGTGGCCCTTTTATACTGGGTGATCAAGGATAGATTCACTGGTAATATGATATCTGAGCTGAAACATGCAGGAAAATAGGGGAGCAAGATGTGGGTATATGAGAGGAACAAGAATTCTAGGTAGAGTGAACAGCAGGGGCAAAGGTCCTGAGGTGGCAGGGTGCCTGTAAAATGGCTGGAACTGGGGGGTTGGAGAGGAAAGTGGTAGAGTTGAGGATAAGGTCCACAGGCAGGGAAGACAGATTGTATACTCCCTTAGAGATCATTAGACTCTGAGCTAGATGCAAAGACAGTGGAGGATTTTTGAGTGTAGGTGCAAATTGATCTGGTTCATGTTTTAAGAGGGACCGTTCTGGGGTGTTATGTTGAGTATGGCCTAAAAGAAGGACAGAAGAATGGAGCCTGTTTATTGCAAAGACTCAAGGCAGAGATGAAGAGGAGTTGATGAGTTGAATCAGAGAAAGTGAAATGTGGCCAGACTCCAAACTTTAACAACCATGATCTAAGGAATAAACTAACAAATGTAAAAGTGCTTAGCCAAGAAGTATCGGTCTTTGTCCTTTATGATCCTTGTCTTTACAGTTTGGTTAATTTTCTAGCCCAATGCATGGCAAATTGGTATGTTAGTTGATATTCAACATCATTAAGCTCCAAGAAATTTATGTATCTTATGTTTCTTCTTCTTGGTCACACTTACCGTCAGATGACACTTTTTAAAGCACTCATCAAAATCAATAGGTTTACAGTGCTATTGGAACAAAAAGCATGTGGTGTTATTCCTGCTCAGAATCACAAATACAAAGGTTACACTAAGAGCACACACAGTATAAGGGCGTAACCCTGAAAATATCCATCATAATGACAGCAATAAACAGTATACATAGCTGGAGGCTCCTTAAGCCTGTGCTTAATGATTCCAAATCATTTTAATCTTTGCATTCTATGTAGCATCTAGCACAGTGTAAAAATGATTCTAGGGTCAACTGTAAAAAAATTAAACAGAATAGGCTGAGGAAATAAGAACTATGGTTCTTGGCTTCAAAACTCTCAATTTAAATAGTAAGACAGTACACTTGGCAAACAATTGAAGAAAATAATTAGTCCAAATATAAAAATATTTATTAATTTAATAAATATTTATTGGATATTTTCTGTTTATGTTCTGTGGATTTAAATCTTGACAGCATTGTGAATAGTAAAGCTTTAAAATACAATAAAGTTGCAAAGTAAGAATGTTATTAGGTTAAAATTATTCTGAATATCTGCCTTCCAGTGTAGATGGAAGATACAAATGTATGAAAATTCTATTTCTGATCCATTTGGTAAAATAATACAGGCCTTCTATTAGGAAACAGAAAGTTGACTTTGATTATGAAGAGGCAAGGCTCCCTCCATGTAGAGAAGCAGTTTCTCAAGATAATAGCCTGATCCCTATGAATTATGGACTTCCTTACTAAAAAGGTTTAATCTAAACCATTTCTATAAATTATATTGTAGGTGATAATCCTGTTTTAGAGAGGAGGATGGCTCAAAGCTTATATAACTATTATATTACATTATTATGTGGAAGGATATCAGGGACAAATCATGAAAGGATTTGAACACCAGTCAGAATATTGGATTTGATTGGACAGCAAATAACGGTTACACATTTTAGAGCAGAGCACTGGTAAGATATTAAGTTTATGAAAGATTATTTTAACAGCCATAGATGAACTAAAAAGTGTAGAAGAAATATTGGGAATAAGAGAAAGAATTTTAAGTATGTCCAAGCATCACTGCACCTTGCTCTAGTGATTTGGGAAGTCCATTTTCCAAATAGCTGTGGAGTAAAAGAAACGATCACCTCTTGAGTTTTGATTTGGTCAGGAAAATGATTTAGAGAACATCAGATTATAAGAGCTGTTTACGGTTATTCATTCTTTCAGTAAAGTAGAACCTCAATAGAAACACTAAAGAAATTATGAGCACATTTTTCCCTATGAAGAAATTTCCTGAGTAATGTGATGAATGTTTATGATGGGGAATAAGTAGTGGACTATACGAATACAGAAGTAACATTTAAATCAATGTTTTAAATTATCGGTCTTTCTTCTCAAAATGTTTGACAGACATATGTCCATCATTAACAGTGACCTCAGTGGCCTAATTCTCCAAGGGGGCTAGTGCCTGGAGGAGGAAGAGTGGAGGGAACAGTTTGGAAATAGCCCAGACAATCTTGATACATTCTCCTGGGGAGGGTAATCTGAGCCCTTGGAGTCTGAGTAAAGCCATGCATGCTACAGAAGATTGGCTGCTTCCCTCAGAACTCCTCACCAAAATAGTTTCTGGGTTTTCCTTTGTTCCGTTTTTATTTGTATTTGTTTATGTCTGATATATTTGCTTTAAAAATTCACTCTCCTCTTTCCTCAAACTACCACACACACACCCTTTTTTTGTGGCTAGTGATAGAAGGAAACTCATTTGAAAAAATAAATGCCAGTCATGTTGGTGCCTGTGTGAAAATAGGTCTCTTGTCAGCTTTCTGGGACCAGAAGAGTGGCTTCCTCTGTTAATTACGGTTTCAAAGAAAGTTGAGAGCCCATCACTTAGTGCTACATGGTCTGGGATATTGTTGCCTATTCCTGCTTCACTCACTAGAAACATGGTAATGTGCTCTTCCGTGTTTCTTCTGTCCAGAACAGTGTTGGTTCTGTAAAAGCTCATGAACTTAATCATAGATTATACATTCATGACGTCTGGACCAGCTTATTTACAAGTTATTTATAAATAATAATTTATAAATCAGATCAGTTTATGAAGTGTCCTCATACTTTATGAGCAAATGTTTGCATTGTTTTGCCAGACAAAAATGTCCTTTTGTCTTATGTAATTTGATGGTACAACATATTTTATCTTTTATTTAAAATCTAGAAAGTAATTTGTTTATTGATCCCAAACTGAGGTGACAAATATAAAACCATCCAGCTTGTCAATGTGATTTGCTGTACTAGAAGATTTCTAACATGTTGGAGACAATTTTTTTCCACTTTTTGCCTTCTTTCCTAAGTTTTTAACTAGAACCAAGACAATCTATAATTATGCAGTACAATCATATGTTAATTATGCAATACAATCATATATATGTAAGTAATCAAAAGTTAAACAAGCTTCATAAAGCTGAAAGTTTTACAAAAATCTCGTTCAACTTTTTTAAACCATGTGCATAGCCTCATGTTTTGGAAACAAAATGGAAGAATTTCAATTCTTAATTTCATTATTTTCACTTTTTTTTCCTTTTATTCTTCCCTAGTGTGCACTGGTATGTGAATGTACAGCCCCAGAAAGTGTGAATGGAAAAGATAACTTACCTTTTTTGAAAGCAGGTATGTATCTCCGTTTTGGAAACTTACATTAGTTTCATATAAACCCAACATTTTAATTTTCTGTGAACTCAATATTGAACCTGGGCAGCATCCTCACAGAATTATTGATGAACACAATAAAATAAATACCAGTGGAGTATGGGTAGTCATTGTTGACAATTTCTTTTTTTTTTTTTAAGATTTTATTTATTTGAGAGAAAGAGAGCGAGCATGAGAGGGGGGAGGGTCAGAGGGAGAAGCAGACTCCCTGCCGAGCAGGGAGCCCGATGCAGGACTTGATCCCTGGACTCCAGGATCATGACCTGAGCCGAAGGCAGTCGCTTAACCGACTGAGCCACCCAGGCGCCCCATTGTTGACAAGTTCTTGTCTCATGGAGCCGAAGAATCTCTGGGACACAAAAGGGTGAAGTTTAAGGGAAGGTGAAAATAGAAAGGGAAGGAAATAGCTCTCTTGCGTGAGAGAGGTCCTGAATGGGTTACCACTGAAAGCTTTCACGGTCGGTCTTTTATAGGAAACTGATGAGTGAACTTGGTAAGTATCATGTCAATATCATGGTTGATTTGAGAATATCATTTCTATATTTAGAATGAACATGTTGCACCTGTAACTATCATGAGAACAAACAAGCTGTTCTTGTAAATATCATCAGTGCAAACAAGCTGTTCTTGTAAATATCATGTCTGTTTCTCCACATCTGGGGTTTCTGTGAGCCTGGCTACATCGCCCCCTGAGTGACCCTAGTCCCCTACCTAGCCTTGCCAGTCCCTTAGTCAACATGACAATCCCATAAGAAAGATATAAAAATACTTTGGCTATTTGGCAAAACAAATTCCTTTTACCTTTGGATTTGGTATTATTTGAAACCAAAACAAGACACATTAGAAGACAGTAAGCTTTAGAAATATGAAGCTCTTATTTAGTTTGACATTTATTTATTTATTTGAGAGAGAGAGAGAGAGAGAGCATGATCTGGGGGGAGGGGCAGAGGAAGAGGGAGAAGCAGACTCCCTGCCAGGCTCCATCCCAGGACCCTGAGCCACCCAGGTGCCCCTAATTTGACTTTCTAATTATAGAATTCAAAACAAAGTTGTTAAAACAGATATAGGGATTCAGTAGGAAAAATTCATACATGCATTTGTATGTTCCTGGGTGTGTATGTATATAGAATATGTTGCTTACAGTAATATATTTGAATTTCAACAAGGCACTAAACCATCTATTAAATAACTTTGTGAATAAAATTGAAACCTATAGTACAATTAAAAAATGTAATATGTGTATGTAAATTATGGATCTACTTTTTTAATGATAATGTAAATTATGTTACCATTGATACTAAGAGTAAACAATGACTAGTACAGTGACAAGCAGTAGGCTAAATGCCTCATATGTCTTGGTTTGCCTTCTGACCTGTGCTGTGGAAAAAGGCACTGTCATTATCTCATTTTACAGATGAGGAAATTGGTCAAGGTCACCTACCTGGCAAGTGTCAGGTCCAGAATTTAAATCCAGTTGTGATCCCAGGGCCTTTTTCTCTTAATTACTAGGCCATGCTATTACTAAAAAGCCATTAATTAAAGTAGGTGTAACAGCAGAACAAGCCTTAGTATTTTTCTAGCCCTGCCATGTCATATGTTTAAACAATGGCATAGATAGCATAATAATCAGCTTAGTGAATGATACTGAATTTCAAAGGCTTACTAATATATAACTGCGGGATGCCTGGGTGGCTCAGTCGTTGAGCATCTGCCTTTGGCTCAGGTCATGATCCCAGGATCCTGGGATTGAGTCCCATATCAGGCTCCCTGCTCGGCAGGAAGCCTGCTTCTCCTTCTCCCACTCCCCCTGCTTGTGTTCCTGCTCTTGCTATCTCTCTCTCTCTGTCAAATAAATAAATAAGATCTTTAATATATGTATATGTTTATATATATATAAAATATTAGCAGTTTTTCATTGCCAGAAACCTCTAGTAATAAGGAATGGAGAAAGGAAAGGCAACCCTTTGACTATGATTATACAGACAGAGAACCCAAATAAAATGTAGTAACAACAAAAAAGCACAAATTATACTTACATAGAATGAGGGATTATACCAAAGAGGAGTCTCTACTTAGCCTATGAGCAAATGACATTTTTTTCATTTCATTTAGGATGCAATATTGAAAGGGATGTGCAATGAATAGTGATGAGTCTACCCAGACAGCCATGTATTCTAAAAGTACTCAATAAGTTTTCAGGCTGGTTAAAATAGCTAATACATCCTCAAATGGTCCTCCTCACATTTAGTTTTCCACCTGAAAATTGACCAAAACTTTAATCCTTTATTTTAAGGTATCCAGATAATCTATTTAATTTACTAAATGTCAATTTTGAGAAATAAAATTGAGTGTGGGACATATTAAATTCATGTTAAATAGAGTTTGAATGAATCAGGTTATCACCACAGTCATCTACACTATAATTATAACTTTTTAATAATTCACTCATGCAAACCTTGTAACTTTTTATGCACAAAGAAATGCCATTTTAAAAAACTGATTAATGTAAATTTCAAAGAGAAAGAGAAAAACGGCTTTCTAAGTAAGAAAATATATTACCTAAGGAAGAAAAGACGGAAGGAGCATTGTGAAAAATAAATCTGCACCTCCTCATATCTGTGCCATAAAATCCGTAAGGCATGAGTCTTAGGAGTGTACTAACTCTTCCAGATTACTAGGATACCATTCCCGATGCATAAATACTAATATGACAAAGACAGCTGACATGGGACTGATGGAGGCAGCTGCATTCTGCAATTTAAATATACTTAGTGGAGTGATTGCTTACAGCCTTTCTCCTTTTATGGAGATGACAGTTTGAGTGGTGATACCCCACTTAGTTCTGACGATATTTCTCAATGTCTTTAGTCCATGCCACCCGGAGGAGCGCTCAGAGCCTAGGATATTTGCCACAGATACTTTCTTTGAGCCTCTTACATTAGGGAAAGATTAGAGTAAATGTGAGTCAAATGTTACAAAAGCTAGATTTTATTTTATTTTTTTTTAAGATTTTATTTATTTATTTGACAGAGCGAGATAGCGAGAACACAAACACAAGCAGGGGGAACGGGAGAGGGAGAAGCGGGCTTCCCACCGAGTAGGGAGCCCGATGTGGGACTCGATCCCAGGACCCCAGGATCATGACCCGAGCCAAAGGCAGACGCCCAACCACTGAGCCACCCAGGCGCCCCACAAAAGCTGGATTTTTAAAAAATGTGTTTAAAATACAACTAAGTACTCTCTGTGAAATGTTTCTGCTCAAAATACAAAAGTGCAGAGGGGCGCCTGGGTGGCTCAGTCGTTAAGCGTCTGCCTTCAGCTCAGGTCATGATCCGAGGGTCCTGGGATCGAGCCCCATATCGGGCTCCCTGCTCAGCGGGGAACCTGCTTCTCCCTCTCCCTCTCCCTCTCCTGCTTGTGTTCCCTCTCTCACTGTGTCGCTCTCTGTCAAATAAATAAATGAAAATTAAAAAAAAAAAAGTTAAAAAAATTACAAAAGTGCATTGTGCAGGATTTAGTATATATGAGTTTGGCCTGTGCATACCTTTGTCTTTTGTTCTATTTACTTTTCTATCTAAACTCAGCAACTTTGGAATTAATCTGTTATAGTCCCATGTGGTTTTTTGTGTTTCTTTTTTTAATCTGTAGGCAAAGGGAGCTACTGACATTCTTTTCAAGTCTTTGTATTAATGTGTTACATGGAACTTCCCAGCCTCAAGTGAGTTATGAAGTACTTATTGAGTGAGTGGAAGAGAATACCATATCTCATAGCAGCTCTTCACTATTCTATTTATATCTCTAGAGGCTTGATTTATTATTCAGGAAATTCACTTATCTATTATAAGACTAACAAGAAAAAGAGCTCTTTCCCCTAAGTTCTCACCTTTTTTATGCCCTGCTTGCCTTGCAAGTTGAACGTATATGTTGGGAGTCTGGGGAGTAGAGGGCAGAAGGAGAGAAAGGACGAGTTGGGGGGGCAGAATTTGCAATTCCTTAAAAAGATATGTAAGTGCCTTAGCTATATGGGGAGACACATTCCTTTCAGCTGGTGCATTTACATTCTCTGAAACTAGACACACTAGAGGACACAGTAAATATTAGAAATGTGAAGTTCTTATTTAGTTTGACTCTCTAACTATGTTAAGTCATAGCATAAAGTTGTTAAAACAGTAGATTTACTTCTCTCATTATTTGCTTATTCATTTGAGCAAAATGGTAGTAAGAACGCTTAAAATTACTTGGTGGTGGTGGGGTGGGGAGCAGAGAAGTACAGTCAGGCCTCTCCTCTCACATGCCCTGCTAAGTCACATCAGCTGAGGAACTTAGCTGCCCCAGAACAATAACAAACGGGTTCTTGTGGTATTAATGTAAGAGCACCGGACGGGCTGTCAGAAGAACTGGTGTCAAAGCCTAGATTTGCCAACCAGCAGCGTGACCCTAATACATGGGTCAGCCTCCTTGGACATCAATTCTTTTAAAATGACCACAGAAACCTGCACAGCCTTTGACTTCCTTTTCTGGCTCTCACATGTTTGAAGTCGATAGAGCATAATTTAGCTTATCCTGTTTTTCTGCTTTTTAGAAATATTTCATAAAAGTATTCATTTTAATCCCTTTCACATGGAGTCACATATTAATTTTTTGTCATTGTTGCAGATGTCATTCTCAGAAGTTATTTCTATTTAATAAGCCTGACCAGAAAGATACCTTTTCAAAATTCTGTGAAGAAGATAATTCTCTCTAAAGTCCCAGTTCTCCCAGGATTCCTTGTAAAAGTATAACGCTACAGAGTACTTCAGCCCATGGACCCTTCTGGCACTATGCCAAATCTGGGGAGCTAATGGGCCCTGTCACAACGTTTCCTCCTTTCTTCACATTTTGAGTGAGTTTTCCCCTGTCAGCAAGCATTAGATCTGATACAGCATCTTCCTTGGCTGAATTCCGTACTGCTTGAGTCGTGA